ATTTAAAAAATTAATTTTGTTAACATAAAGGGGGTAACTGCCTAATATACTAACAAATAGCTTGGTTGTTGTAACAATTTAAAATTCTAATCTTAACTTTATGCTCCATTTGTTTGAGAATAATAAATGTTTTAATTTTATTTTCAAATAAAATACTTAAAAATAACAATTAATTTTTTAATCTAATAACATTAATCACATTAAATAAATGTATTTTTTTTAGGTGAGTTCGATCTCGTTCTATCAAATTATTCAAAAAAAATATACTTGAGAATAATTTATATTTATATTTGTATTATTTTTAAATATATATAAATAAAAAATTATTTTTTAAAAAATATTAAAAAATAAGTATTGATGAGGGACAACTCGTTAAGCTAAATATCCTTGCTAGTGACTATTGCTTTTAGTGATTGTCACGCGTGATGGTATCGAGAGAGAGAGATAGAGAGAGAGAGGGAGAGAGAATTTCAAGCCAGTAATTAAGCTGATTAAGTAGCTTTGGACTGGACTTGAAAAAATCTAGCAAGCTTTGACCAATATAAACAGTAGTCTTTGTATTTTATTGGGGTGACACATGCCCCGTCAGGAGAGACTGCTCCCATGTAGACGTAAGAGTGATTGATGCTTGCTTGAATGGAAAAGAAAAGAGTTAGCAAATCTTTATGTGGTTATTACCCAAGTGTTTATTTATAAAGAAAATATTATATTATAAAAAAATTTAAAATTATTAAATTAGTAAGAATTTAATGGGTATTGAAGAGGAAAATCTGAATGATAACAATGAATTATGTTCTTTGTTAAATTATTTTAGGTAATTTATTTAGATTGAAAATATAAGAAAAGTAATTTTATTCAATATGATAAGAGACTTATTTTTTTAACATATAGAAAGTCATTTTAATAGTTGTTAAAAATATAGAGATAAGTAACATTAATATATACAGGCATATATATATATATACCCTTTTTACCTATCATTTATAAAGTAAGATGGGTCTAATACATTTTATATAGAGTTGCTATACACCAAGTATTAGTTTTTTTAAAAATAAAAGTTTAGCTAAATTAGTATTTATTAATTTAAAATTTTTAATTTAGGGTTAAGATTATAAATTTAAAATTTTATAATATCAAATAACTAATCTTCTAATGTAAAAAATATATATTAATTATTTCTTTTCTCAAATTTCTTTCAATTAAATTTTTTTTAAAATTAAAATCTCTGACCCTAGAGTCTTGTTTTCCAACCTAATCTAATATATATATATATATAAGAGTTGAAAGTGTCACACTGAAATCTTGAAACACAAGAAAAAGAGATTTGCGAGAGAGTGGAAGTGAAAAGCTATTCTTATTGTATGGTCTGCATATAATATGTATGCCAAGTCAAATTATATTTGGTATTGAATGAGAAAACGGCTGTAATTTGCTACAGAGTTTGCCTAGTCTAAAATTAGGCATATTATAACATCTATTTATATAGCCACAACGAATATCTCCACTACAAAAATATATTAGTAATTGGATAAATAATACTTTTAATCAGAACTACTAAATCCTAAAATTTATAAGTCCCATAAAAAAATATTTATTAATATTTTTGCTATACAATAATTTCTTAGTACTCCCTTTATTTATTTCTTTAATTGACTTGGTATAATTTTTTAACTTTTTAGAAATTATTTCAAGTGAAAATTTAACAAAATATATGAACAGTTTTTTTTTTTTTTTTGTAGTTTCATTTGAAAAAAATTTGAAATACCGATGTTAAATCTTTTTAAAATGAATATACACTATGCTAAATTTTTATATAAAATTAATGTTCTAAAAACTAAATTAAAATAACTAAAATTTTTACTGCACGATAACTTGACATGCATGGTTTACCTATATAGTTTCCGGCCGTACGACTATTTTGAATGGCATCAAGACCCTAGAAAGTGTTTGATAACTAAATTTGAGATATGTTGATTACAATTTAACAATTACAAAATGTTTTGGAATTTTAGCCTTTTAGAAAATAAAATTTTAACTATAATTTTATTTTTTATTTTTTATTTTTTTGAATGAGTAGTTAAGCTGCGGGCTGAAAACTCGTCCATAAAAAAGGAAGAATGTACTTCAAGTTGTTTGATTGAGTACTAATTAATCCGAAGGATAGGTGCTAACTATAATTTTATTAAAGTATTGTTTAAATAGAATTTTTATAAAAAAGCT